ATTTGCAGCCACCGAGATATGTTGTAAGATACTTGTCGTAGCTGGTACCAGCTGGTACATAGTTAGTGATATCAAGCATTTTCATGTCCGATGTAGCAATGCACATGTAGCTGGGGTTCTTGATGACAGATTTGATGTTGTCGGTACCATTTACGGCAAACAAATCTTTCTTAATCAAGTTAATATCGTATCGACCAGAATTGAAGCCGAATACTGGTACTTGGTCAAGCTGCTGTTTCAGTTTCCCATAATCAGACCTTTGCTTACCAAAACTAAGACTGCGGTGAAAGTCAAAGAAGCTGGCATACTTCCCCACTTCAATCCAACTCTCCACATCGGACATCTTGTAGGTCTTGCCAAGATTTACTCCTGGAATTTCCATACCTGCCATACCATGAGCATTGATGATTTTTTGTAGAAGCGACTAATACTTATTGACATTGGACTGCTGAATCTTCAGCGATACATCACCGATGTATTTGAACATATCCGTCAGCAGCATCTTCGGATCTTCATTCACAAAGCAGCGCACCTCCTCGGTTAAACTATCAGCTATGGATACAGACACAGGGATGTGTTCGTTCGTGAAGACAGTACTTTCCTCGTGTTGAGTCGCGGTAGGCTTAAGAATTGCCTCAAAGTCATTAACTATGAAGTGATCGATGTAATGGTCAGCATCCTTGACGGAATACTTCGTAAGCAGTGATCGTATCGTGTTCTGAGCCGGTTTGTATATAGTTGGCTCAGTGGGGAAGCTCTCAATATTTACAAGCTCACACTGGTTCTTCTTGTGATTTTTCAGCTTTTCAACGCTGACGAAAACCATTTCACACTTAGGACATTGATATTTAGCCTGAAGCATATCAATGTTCTTGATGTAAAGAGCATGATTCTCGAACGATAAAATATCCATAGCTTCATACCCCTTGTCCGATCTACGAATGCATTCTACATTTCCGGAAGCTACAATCATGTTATATACGTTAATACCGAGTTGGAAGCAGTCCTCAACCTCATCGAGCTGTAGTAGGTCAATAGGCTTGAAGCTTCTAAATAGACTCAACGTATACTTCACCCCCTTGAAAAAGCAGTAGCGCTTGAATGCCTCCTTCACCTGAGCCTGAATTCTGCGAGGATCCTTCTTAGGGCTCTGGAATGTATGCCAGGCGATACAGTGGAAGACGCACTTGTTGTTGGTCTTAGGGAAGTTGATTACATGCTTGTTTTCGCGGATAATCTTAGGAATAGCAGCGTCGCTATCCCCAAGAGCATGGTCGCGATGGTAGACGAAAATCTTGAATGCAGTGATCGCCTTGAGCTTATATCCAGAGCTGGGGTAGTTCAGCTTGTCAGCCAACTCCATAGACCGAATTTCCGAAATCACCTTCTTTCGAATATCAGCCTTGCTGTTGATAGCAACAGGCTTATCGAACACATAAGTGTTAGCGAGATTCGGATAGAAATAGCGAGTATCATTAGGATCGGTCTTGCTTATAAGTTCGTACCCAAGAGCAATATTTACCTTAAAAGCACTTGCCTGGCTCGAAAGAACGTTCTCGAGCTTATCGTAGAAATCAGTAGCCTCGATACCCTCATATAGGTGTGATTCCATGTGATTACCATTGTAAAAACGATACTTAGGATCAGCCTTGAAGTCAGGCGACAAGTGCTTCTCAAGGATTTCAATCGAATCATTGTACTGCTTAGCTACCAGTCTCTGGTTGATTGGGCGCGAAACTTTGCATACATAAACCATCTTACCCGTTCTACCACGCACCTTAACACGGTAGCTACTACCCCATTTGATAGCTTTGATATTTAATCTTTTTAATCCTTCGAGTTCGTATGCAAAGATGGTGCCTCTATATGAATTCTTCTTCGTAGATATGACTCTATAATATTTTGATCATGTATCAGGATCGACTTTATATCTTAGTCATTACAAAAGATTCTGAAATTAATTAATTCAAATATTTGGGTTATACCTTCTTGGAGGTTTTAAGCCATTGTCATTGACTATATTGGGATTGATTTTTTATTTGAGAAAAAAAATTATTAATTTAGTTCGGTTTCGTTGTTACCGTATTTGAGATCTCCTACTTCAGACCCAATATTTTTGAAGTTGTATTGTTGCAAAATAGACAAGATCTGTACATGTACCGACGCATCTCTATCACGTATTATTTAAACAAAACAATTTAGTTATCAAGTTCTTCTTCGGGAACTACGAAGTTTTCTGTCGTGACGCGTATCCACAGCATGGCGCACTACGGGCACTTCTTCCAGCAACCGTCGTAGCAGCTCCCAATCAGGTTCCCTCCACAACCGAAAGCTTGTAGGCGTATGAAATGGCAACGCGCTTGAACTTCTTGGGAGGCTTGCCAGTGCCAGAAATACGGGTTCTCCCTTTCCGTTGGCCGGGAGTGCGCGCCATTGCGAATTTCTGGGTGGATAGTTACAGTTTAGCACGTTTTTTGTACTCTGAATTAGGAGATCTAGACTTGTGCGCTGTTCCATTCTCGATATGTGATTGGTTGGAGGGCAGTGTGAATTAGGAGATCACTCTGAAGTAGGAGATCTCAAATACGGTAGGTTCGGCTTTGTCATCAATAAGCTCGGTTTTGGGCTTGCGTCTCGGTTCTTATCGTCGTATTGTACTGGCAAGATGAAACCCAACACCATTTTTTTGTTTTGCCCATAAATACAAAAGTAGTAATCGGATTAATGCCGGCAGACCAGCAATGGAAACAGGGTAGCACAGAGATCACAGACAAACACACATTGTTTGACTTTCTTGTCTTTTACTAAAATGGTGGACGCTCAAACGTCTGCGGGAAATTGATGCTGATCATGCATGCACAGAACATTTCTTGCGATATTTAATAAACAAAGAAGCCTAAAGTGACAAGCTTAACGCCAGAATGCAGCTTGGAATGCAACGCATCTGCAGAAGTTGGTTAGAGCTACAGGAGCAGCGTAGGGATTGCTGCATGCAGTGTTAAACGCATCGCCGACAGCCCCACTTCCTAGGATCAAATGTGCATAGAAATGAGTAAAAAGGGCATTGTTGATTGTAATACTAAAGTTTGTAAGGACCAAAACATCTGATGCCCAGGGGCTAATGGTAACCAAATATCATATGATATTTTTGATAGTAATAGTACTATTTTCGATATTAAATATTAATAGTAACTCATTTTTGCAAAAGCTAACATAATATTTTTATATTAGCTCGGAGAACTGAAAAATATTAGATACTACATGATATTTTATGATATTTTCCCACTTAAGTACGTTTCTTGCCAGCTTACCTCTGTGAACCGAGCGGAGCCAAATAACTTTTTCGATCAGGTTCTAGAAAAGCAGTAGGCTTTAAGACTGACGAGTATTTGCTCTAGTATTTCACTGTGACACAGACAAAGGCGATCGAGATGGAAAACTGCAAACGCTTGCAGCTGTTTAACGTTGATAGAGCGAAATCAAGACATTTGTTCTTGTTCTCTTCCGATCTCCTCGTCGACATCGTGCGTCTAATAAACCTGCTGCCTGTGGCGCTAGATTAATGCGCTCAGCAGTGCCAACACACAACGCCAACCTTGCCGTCACTCACAATTGTCCCGGTACTCACGGTTGATTAGTAATACTTCAGCTAGTCGAGCGTTAACGACATCTGATTAGTTAATGTAGCCCGATTACGCAATCATTGAAAAATATAATATCGTATTAACTAATATTAAGTTGATATCTAATAATATCATATTGTCTCAAAAGAAAATATTAGGTGATATTTTTTATATTAACTGGTCTACAGGTGATATTTTCACAATATTAACTTCACCGATTTTGGAGTTACCATTAACCCCTGCTGATGCCATATGTCAAGAACATAGCCTCGATTTTTTGGGCGGAACGAAAGACACGCACTTTTCCATTAAGTGTAGCATGTGCATTTGAGCAGATATTCAAGGATGATTATGACTACTTAAGAGAAGAAATCGTTATCTTTCCAACAAAAAAAGCTCATATAAATTGGGTAATTGGGTGAGAAGTTGTGAAGGGGCAATGTTTGGAGTTTCACGTGTGCGCTGATAGTAGCGCTTCTTAATGCTCTCTTTGTTAGCGAGGTATTGTTCAGATTAGTACCTCCATCTTTGTATATTAACAACTTTATATTTATCAGGATTAAACAAAAATGACGGCGTCATTACTGTTTCAATCCTCGTCCTTAAATCCAGCGACATTTCGAGAAGTCTCCAAGTTAAAAGAAAGCTGTGATCCTCTTCTTTACGGGCAACTTATATTCCACGCTTGTTGCCTCGAAAATCGATGATAACGTAATCTTTTGCAGCGAGAGCAGCATACTTCCTCCACTGCAGCGAATCGAGACATATGCTCGCCGAGTCACCATTAACGAGCAATTCGATTCCCCACCGAAGACTTCCATTTAAATAGAAGTCAATCTCTCCATCAATGCGCGTGCTCGGCTGACCAAGCGAGGTAGGAAACACTCTAATTGCGCCCGCGAGATCCGTCTTGTACTCCGCCGCGTACGCGCTGCTGATGTTGCGCGCGTGCTCCGCCGGCTGTTGATGAACGCCGTCTCGACCGTGACCATGCGGCCTTCGACAACCTTGGACGGGACGTCGGCGTCCACGGCCGCTTTCGCGCTCGTGTGCACAAACACGTTGAAGTTGGCCACGTCGCCGCGCATGACAGGCAGTATCACCGTCTTCAGGTCGCCGCTCGGACGCTTCACCAGGTCGCCGCCGTTCTACTTCTGGGACGCCTTTGTCAGCAGCGCGATTTGCGAGCCAGCACAACCGGGTACAACCTATCCTCCGCCGTGTCTGTCGTAAGCCTTTGGTCACCTTGCGCATGATCTCGGCTCCGTAGCAGGACGATTGTATCAATTGGGGCAGGTACGTTTTCGGTCGATATAACTCGTGCGAGTTACAACCAAAACTGCCTAAAACACGTACGGAAAATAGTGTGAATAAAAATCAAAACTTTGCATTAGAATTCGCGATGCTACGTTGAAACATCTCCATTTTATCATCGAGGGAAACGTCCGACCAAAAGTCTTTAAAGTCGTACGACGCATCGATACGATCCTTCTTCAAAGCAATCATACGCGCCACTCTTGCTTGTAGATTCAAGCAGCGATTGTACGGACGCCCTAAGCCAGTGAATGTCAGAGCACGGCCTTCCACGTCACCAAACGTTGTCCGGACATTAAAGCGGCACGGCTTCTTCCGCGACGAGATCTTTCCGAGAAGCAATTCAGTCTGCTCCGTGCTCAACACTTTGTTGTCGTGGCGGTCCTTGAGATCAATGAGAGGGGTGTCTCGGATAGACGGATCGAAGAGCTTCAAACAGAACGTGTCCGTGTCATCGCGAATGAAGCTGATTTGGAAATGGTCGAATGCGTGTTCCAAAGGCTTGAACAGTAGCAAACCATTCCTCACATCATCAATGTCAGATATCTGCATCATCACAAGTGACACATTTTCGTTGCTACGACGAAACAAATGCGACGCAATCACGAGCGAATTCGGAAAAGCAACATCGAGCAGCATACACCGCACGCAGGATTTCTTTCGGCTGTAGCATCCATAGAAGTCGCACAGCTCGTCTTTGAAACCTTTGTTTCCGTCAGTGAGAGTCGTTGGGGCACTTATGAGAACATAAGGTAAAATCGCTTCAAGAAGAGTCATGGCTGGGGATCGGAGGTCGTCCTGCGGAGGAACCACCACCAGCACGTGAACAGGGGTACTTTTAGCCTTGACATCTTCAATCGTGGGTGTGAACTGCACGTCTGTCCCCGACAAGCCAACCAAGTTGAGAGGAGCTCCTGCAACGTCCAACGGCGTCAAGCCATCGGTGTCATTCACGCCGTTATTCACGTCTGCCTCCGTCACCCACGCGCCGGCGCCTTTTTCCTTCTTCGCCAAAAAGAGCTGCAGCTGGTCGGCTTCACACGTAATCGTGATCGGCTTCTCCACCTTCACCGCCTTCTTCAACTTGCTAACCTTCACGCTGTCGTCGATCTCCACATCAAACGAGCTTCCTGCCTGACCAACGATTGTGCACTGTAGTGAAAGCTTCACCATCTTTCCTCGAGGCGGCAGATTGTGGAATGCAGAGGTATAATTTCTGGCGTACTTAAGCGGGAAATAAGGCGTGTGACATAGATTTTCAACCAATGATGAGACGCCACGTCGCGCCTGTCCTAAACTACCGCCGCTACGCGGCGGCGCTCGGCTAGTGTATATAAAAGCAATACTCTAGCAGATTTTTATCTCAAGGATTAGTTGGGGTTTGCTTTGGCCTTACCGCCTCCGCTTCGCTTCGGCGGGACAATTATTTTAAAAAATATGAACCCCTAGGTTTAATTTAGACCAGTCGCTACAAAATGCTGAGGCCGTGCAATTATTTTTACAAAATGCTGAGCCCCTAGCATCACACTTACCATGCTTAAAAATTATTATTCTGGTGATCTTGACACAGTCTCTTTATTATTGTTGGCTACAGCATATGACATTCGTCAGTCATCGCTATTTTCATGAAGTTTGATTGGTTTACCTAGAGAGCATCATATAGTCCGTGTTGACTCGGGCACATGCTTGCCGTGTCGTGCTGGCATTAACGGCGAGTATGTGCCCAACTCAAGAATCACCAGCACTTCAAATAGCATGTCTACACTCGATATCATGGGCTGTTCTGAGGCGCTGTGAAACTTAGCCCGCATCAATATGAAGGACAGTAATGATCTCCAGGTTGCTCTCTTGTACTGCCTATTTGAGCTTGTAAGTAACTAAAAATTGCTAACTTCTCACACAAAACTCACTGAAAGCTATAATTTTTTCGAATTGTAATATTTTTATGCATGCAGCCTTCATTTTGCGCTGATTCAAAAGTCATTGGACAGTCGAACCTGTCAGTTATGATTAAAACATTAGGATAATGCGTCGCAAGACGCTTGCGGCAGCCTTTTTTTAATTTGATAGGCTAATTTAGATGCCAAAATGGTTTAACTATCAACTATACCCTAAGTTTAACGTTTTGTTATGGTGTCTAATTAACCAGCTCTCATGTTGTGCTGTTGTCTACCCGCTCCATTTAAAACTTTATCCTTCGCCTATGTCGGTGACACGTCCGCCAGTTAAGTTGTATCGGATTTTGCTGTCTAAACAACTCTTAGAAAACAATGGCTTACAGCAGTATCACACATGAGCTCGTTATATTCAATCTAAAACTTTCAATCTTTGTGAATCAAGTGACAACGTTTATTAGCAGCGTTGTTCTTACGGCCAGCTGTTACGGCCAGCTCTTCTGTTGTACATGTACTACGATTTGGCAGCTTCTCTCCGATAATTAGATAATATATCTACAAAAAAATAGTTGTAGCTATTAAAGTCATTGCACAGTACATTGCATAAACTATTAAGTACATAGTATACGTATATTATAGTATGGCCTCCAAAACACGCATTCATACGTGCACGCTAAGCACCTTAGGGGCTATTTCATTTTAGAATAAGTAGCTCTCTCTGTTTAGCACTCAAATATTAAAGCAACATGCATTATTAAACAAGTAAATACTTCGTAATATAAAAACGATGCCGCCTTCGGATATCGCTTACAGTAGTAATTGTCATCAGCACATATAAGTTCATTTTGCTCAATCTAAACCTATCTATCTTAGTGGCTCAAGCGACAACGTTTATTAGCACAGCGTTGCTCTTACGGCCAGCTTCTGTTGTACATGTACTTCTGTTCTTGCAGTGAGCACGAAGCCATTAGTCAGTCGACATCTCTCCATCAATCACAGTCTGATGGCTGCAGACTACACTTGGCAGCTCAGTCGGTTACCTCACATTCAGAATATTCTTAATATTTCTACAACAAAAACAGTTGTAGTTATTCTTTTAGTCATTGCTTCTTGCAGAAACTATTAAGAATATAGTATTACGTATATTAATAGTATGGCCTCGAAAACACGCATTCCTACGTGTACGCTAAGCACCTTGTAGTTCTTTAGGGGCTATTTCATTTGAGAATAAGAAGCACTCAAATATTAATAGCAACATCCCATATTAAAATAGTACAAAATAAAACTTCGTAGTATTTAAATGATGCCGCCATCGGATCATGGATAGTCTTGTGCAAATCCCCATATGTGCTCTGTGAACCACATGAATTTAGTGATGTAAAGTACATAATTTCATTTCAACTAATCGTAGCCGCCTTCGCTCCGCTCGGCAGCCAATGGGAAGGCTCAAAAATCTGAGCGTTTCGTGTGACGGACGGACGGACACCGTGCTAGCCTTGATACTTTAGGATGTAGTTTTAACTAGCGCTCTGGGCGTCCGCTCCGCGGACGCTAGGGCACGACTGGTTGGTGTAGAGAGGGCGGACCACCTCCGCTGCGCTGCGGTGGGCTTAGCTTGTTTAACGCAAAGCAACATTTAATATATGTCGTGTTCTACTTATGTTATGATCCAAAACAACACCGCACACAATATCCTGAGTGCTCACATATTATGGTCGACATGACCAGGGTTTAGCGTGATCTGCAAGATGAGCACCGTCTTACCCGGGAAGGTTTTGTCTATAGTCTCATTTGAGTGCATAGCTCCCAAAATGACGCCAATTGGAGGCGCGCATGGCTGCAAATGTAATATATGCTGTGAAGACTGGTTAGTATCAATGATGCTACGAATTGGCATAGAGTCGTGAGGATCCCAGTTTAGCTGGAGTAAATACGCTACTCAATCATATTTCCATCTGCACGTCATCGCGGTGAGGCAGTCGACACCATATCTTTGATTGCGACGGTCTATTAGAGCAAGGTTTGGTCATCTCCTCGGGCGAAGTATCGTTTAGGGAAGGTAGTATTTGCCGATGGCCACCATACACATCAATATTATGCCTTGAAATTGTCCCGCTGAGCTCTTTATTATCTTACTGAAGGGCCTTTCCACTATATTTCGCATGCATTGACCATACTTGCATAGCTGACGCACTTACTGACGTATGTACATAGATACGGGCCGACAGAGTGGCGTAGGTCCTTTCCGACTGGCATTTACTGGCTCATAAATGTATGGCAAACCCACAAAGCTACATGGCTGTAGGCAGAGTATCAAATTGTAATGATGTTTAGACTTAATCTGAAATGTGGCTCATGTACATTATATGAAGTACTTTTGCTGCATACCTATCAACTCGGCGTGCTATTTAATATGTCCGTGCATATATCGCAAGGTCGTGAATGAGTGTGTATACCACGCGCTCGTGAGAGCCAAAACCTATGTGTAGGGTCAATGTCGCTCTTTCGGTATATTTGCGTCGTCGTGCTGACTTACTGTACTTACGCTTCTGATGTACCAGTCTATATGACCAGGCGCGTTGCTAACTCGGCCCATGCCATACCGCAGAGATACAGGATAGCTGACCGCGCGTCTGCTCGCAGATATATACGCGCGCGGCGGGTACACGTATAACCATCCCCAGCTCTGATCCCGGTCAATTTGAGCAGGGCACTAAAGTACGGTACTGCGTACAGACACACCGACTTGACACATCCTCTTGTATGATCTGCATTACCGCACACGTGCTCGTGTCTACGTAGATAGCAACGCATTCGTCGCGTGTAGTGCTCACTCAATACTGTAGTTTTATTTTATGAGCGCGCATTAGTGGAATAAGCGCTGTGAGCCTTGACAATACAGAAAGCGTGGTCTTGCCTTTGTCCAAGTGAGCGAGTGTACGTGTGACGCGTATGCAGATAGGGACGGTCAGCTTGCGGCTGTCCACAGTAGATACCATGTGCTAAATATTATTTGAAACGCGCTACTCTATTTAGGTGTGTCAACACAACTGACTGCGCTATAGGCAGATTACCGTATGTGCGGCTTTAAACCTCGCACTGTAGCCAATATACTAAATACAAAGATAGGTAGGAAAATGGGGGCCTAAAATGGTATTTTTACCAATTACTTGATCTTCTGCTGCTTCTTTTGCTCGATATACCTGGCGTTTCGGGCGGGCGGCTTGCGAGGGCGTATACACTTCTTCTTGTTTTTGGGGGTGCTAATCAGGGCCCATGCTTTTTTAACACTCGCCAGACTATGCTGACTGCGGACCTCCGCTGGATCCGGTGGTGGGGACTTTTTTAATTAGAACGCGGTCGCTTTTGCGTCACTCTCGCAGGCAATAGAGCGTCACGTGGTGTCTTGTCCGCTGATTGAACGGAGCGCGTAGCCGTATTGCGGCATCCCGCTGCATACGCACCGCGCTCAGGGATCCGTCGTAGACCGCTGCGGGTTCAGCAGTAGCAGGTCAATCTTCGCTTTGCCCGTAAGCCTCACCATGCTGCAAACTGTGAGCAAACTGCTACAATTACTAACGTGCGTAAAAATATTAGGTTTTCCAGCGGGTATTTACTGCTAGGTGTATTTTATTAAACAAAATCATAAATAATATTATTATATCATAAGCATTATATTGTTTTAACCAATAAAACACGTAAAAATAATTTCCGGTACACGGCCATTTAGTGCTGTTACTCATTATTAAACAAAAATAGTTTTATTTTAATTTTGGCAATCGCTTAAATAATACTATTTTCATTTTTTTTAAACCAAACATACTTTTAAGCAATAACAATGATTTTAAACACAACCACCTAGGTACCATTCACGCATGCAGTGCGGTGTCCGGGTGCAACTAACGCAAAGGTCATGAAGCCTTCTTAAATAAAAATATTAAATATAATGATAATCATACTCTACTTTGAAAAGTGTGTGGAAAATAACATCGCAGAGCTCTTACAAAATACTGGTCTGTGAAGTCTACATTAATAATAATAAACATCTCTATTTGAGAAGTGTGTAGAGCTCTTAGAAAATAAAGTGGTTACTGTGCCCGATTTGCAGTACATACGACAGGTTTTGCGTAGCTAAATGTAAATACGCAATCGTTAGCCCAGCTCGCCTTGGTGCTTATATCCAATCGGTGCGTTTCGTGCTCGGCAGAAATGTTTACCTTACGTCCAATCGCGAGGGAGAGAGGCGGTCTGATCGTGCGACAGATCCAGTCAGTGTCGCAGGTCGGCAGGTATTGC